AGGAGAAATAAAGAGACTCTGCATTGAACTCCCTCTGACCCTGCTAAGAATTGCCTTTCAGACCATCTTTTTCTCTGCTGATACAGGAGTCTGAATGACATTTAGTCACAAAAACTTGTACTAGGGAATAACACACAACTTTGATTACATTAAGGGAAGACAAAATTGCATTCTCTAGTCACTCCCTCTTTTAACATGAAGCGCTTTAGCATGTTTGAGGAAAACCAAATTGAAGTGAATAGGACCCTCTACCCAAAAAGGCAAAGCAGCAGATAACATACAGAACACTTCAGATTTTTTCCTAAAAAGCTTTAGGAACTTGTATGGATATGAAAATTATTAAAGTGTAGGTCTTTTCTTGACACCTTGGTTCAGTTCTTAGCATATCATAACTTCTAGTACTCACACTGAAACCGCATCGTGTCACAGGGATTATCTTCATCTTCAGGATCTTATCAAACGCTTCAGAACTGCAAGTTTTTGTAAATGCACTGTAATGCTATAATCTAAATAAGGCCTTCTTATAAGGCCTGTTTCACCTGCCATCAGAAGATAAAAGATGCAGAAATCAAAGTAGAACGTTTTACTAGTTAAGTGAGTGATCTACTAAAAACTTTAACCTTTTGCCATTGGTTTCACTGCAACAGTCACAAGCTGGGAGCAGTGTCAGCATTCAGGTGCCTTACAGTCACTCGTTACCGGGAAGTGTCACTGTGTAAGAAGAAATTATTACTGAGTGAAAACATAGAAAATACTAAGGTAATAGATCGTGTTACCAAAACCAGTTATTTTCACAGTTAAATGAGATTTCATTCTAACTGTTGAAGTGTAATTTTAAAAAGCTCACAATACCTGAGATTGTGTTAGGAAGTGGCTGGACTTTATTGTAAGTACTTTTTTTTTTCATTCTACACTGCCAGCTTTGTACTTCATTCTTTCCAATTCTATTTTTATGTATTTTTACATAGCCATTGCAATCACAGAATACACTTCCCATCACTTTGATGTAAACAAGGTTTTAAATGTTGAAATAGTAAATAATGAGTGCTTGCATGTGCACTATTAAGTATAACTTTGCTTAGTCCCCTTTCTTCCCTGTGCTTTGTGGAGTGCAGAGGTTTCTTGCACTGTCTGCAGAACCACAGCTCCACTGTGAGACCAAAGGAATCCCATGAGAGAAACTCGGCATTTTCACTGAAGAAGTGATAGCTAAATAGTGTGTGTTACAACCCCAGGTGTACAACAGTGGAGTGTAATGGAAGTACACTTACCTACTTCTGCATATTGATAGCAACAACCACCACGGGTGAGTGAATTAGCTGGGTCTGTTCAGAACAGGGTCTGTTCAGAACAGCCTCTGTCAGGCATGAGCGGTTGTAGACCATGTGCGGCTTCCTTTCCACCCTGCCAGCGGGTTCCTGCCCATGGTTTTCCATTTCATAATCCTATGCACTGAACCTGCACACCACAGCTCTGAGGGCAGTTTAAAGGCTGTGAGGCGGCCTCCTTGTGAGAAGTGTCAATTAAGGTAAGGGATCCAGGGTATAAGGAGCATCCTCTGACTGTAAGGTGATTAGTTTCCTCAGTGTAGGCATTGTGAGAGTAACTTGCAAAACAAAGGCAGTAAGCATAAGTCAAAAAACAACTCTAAAAGGATTTTCAGATTCCGTACCAGATCGCCAAGCTCCTTCATTAGGAGATTTTACTTCAGTATTTTCGTGTAGTCTAAAACATAGACTGAAAAATACTGACAACTTCAGGCTTATTTTACATAATCAGGTTAAATGCCTGTGTGGGAAGAAAGCACATTTTTCACATTAATTCAATATTAATGACAGTTTATTCAACTCATTATTTTTGCTGGAGCGTAGTTATTAATTTCTCTGAACAGTGTGTCTCCATTCTTGTCTTAAATCATTTGAGGGACTTTAGAAAGGGCAATGCTAACATCTTTCTCCAGTACAAAAGGCAGCTACAAACTTGGCTTTCCTGATTTTGATTTCCAATAATTACATGGACCTGGGCGCTGAATGGCGTCGCGACGGCGAAGCCGAAGGGCGGCCCAGGCTGGGACTGCCGGGC